TTATTTGCAACTAACTGAGGTTATTACAGTTGATAAGTTTTTTTTTAATTGCATTAAAGATACTATAATCATATTCAAATAATGCAAAAGGTTAGGAACTTTTTGTTTCTTTGTGTCTATCTTGTCAAGTGTATTTTGGAAATATAAAAAAAGTTGAGATGAGAAGATTTTCTTGATAAATTATCCAACAACATATTTAAGGTAAATCAGAATAACATAGAAAACTTAATGTAGAAATGAAAAGAAACTGCTTAATACAGTTAAGAGGATAAAGATGACAATTAAGGAGAGGCACTGAAGTGGTCAACAAAGTTGTGCATTGCAAATTGTGTGTTTCCAATATCATGTGGTTTACCAAAGCTGTGAGATCTGCAACCTCTGCTGGTCCTCCTACAATGGGGCCTCCAGAGGAATGGAAGTGATGTAGAAAGAGCATGGAGGTGAAGCAGATGAGGCAGTGGCCTTTAAATGCCCCCAACAGCCTCTTGTCTGATGGCCGCCCTCCCTGCCAGGGACTGACCCTCAAGTCGCTGGTGGCCACAGTTGTGAGAATATGGTGCATGGTTGACTTGCATGGAGCAATCCAAAGTTTCTTGGGCGGTCCTCAACTCGAGACTATGCACAAGGCAACAACATATTGTTCTTTGGCACTAATTGGTGCGCGTCATCACTTATTGACTCCACCTTCTCAGCTCAAACATGGAAGTCAGATGACTGATGTTGTCAGAGTGTTCAAAGATCAACAAAGAGAAGAAGGTAATGTTGCCTGGAAGGATCACACAAAACTCAAGCTACTACTCTTCAAAATTCAGATGAAATAAAGCTTGCAAGATCTCAGTTTCTAGTTTGTTGCATTGCCAAAATGTCGGTGAAATGTGAGATGGAAACAGCAGGGAAGAAGACCATGCCCAAAGTCAGCATCGCCAGTTGCAGCAAAGCAGCAGGGGGGATGCACCTGCAGAGCATGATCCACCCACATCTGAATGTACCATATCATCACCATCTTCCCTCCTTTATTAGGTGCCACAGCCATACCCAACTCACACCATTAATGCTCCATCCATCACCCATCGAGGAATCAGACAAAACAAGAAGCAGCACAGCCATAACACCCTGCCATGGGAAAGACTAATGAGCGACTTGATATATAGGACGCAAGCGACTCCTCCTTGCATGTATTCCTACAGCTCCTTCATTGTCTTCATCTCTCTACTCGTCGGGGCGTATGGCGACAAGCTCCATAGAAGAGGCCTGCGAGGAAACCAGGGAGTGGCCGCCGGTGGCTTCTAAGAGCTTGCAGCGAGTGGCGAGCGGGGGGAGCGAGGTCATCGACCCGGAGGGCTGCGTCGAGGCCGAGTTCCGAAAGCTGCCGTCGTCCAAGTATAAGGGCGTCGTCTCCCAGCCCAACGGCCGGTGGGGGGCGCAGATCTACGAGAAGCACCAGCGCATCTGGCTCGGCACCTTCAACGAGGAAGCCCAGGCCGCGCGCGCCTATGACGTCGCTGTGCAGCGGTTTCGCGGCCGCGACGCCGTCACCAACTTCAAACCGCTGAACGACGCCGACGACGAGGACGCGGCGGAGCTCTTCTTCCTCGATTCGCATACGAAACACGAGATCGTCGACATGCTTCGGAAGCGCACCTACCATAACGAGCTACAACAAAGCAAACGATCGATCGGTGCAGATAATAAGAAGGGGATTGCTGGTCGCAGCAACGCGGCCGTGGCGGGCGCCACGGACCCGCTTGCTGGAGCACAGAGGCAACATCTCTTCGACAAGGCCGTGACGCCGAGCGACGTCGGAAAGCTCAACCGGCTAGTGATCCCGAAGCAGAACGCCGAGAAGTACTTTCCGCCGCAGAACACAGGCGGCGCCGCCAGCAAGGGCGTGCTGCTCAGCTTCGAGGACGGCTGCGGCAAGGAGTGGCGTTTCCGGTACTCGTACTGGAACAGCAGTCATAGCTACGTGCTAACGAGAGGTTGGAGCCGGTTTGTCAAGGAGAAGCGTCTCGAGGCCGGCGACGTCGTCACCTTCCAGCGGTCGACCGGCACCGACAAGCAGCTGTTCATCGACGCCAAGGCGCGATCCGGCGTTCAGGTTCTTAGGCTCTTCGGCGTCAACATCGTCAGAGGCCCGGCGGCGGCCATCGGCGAGGGCGGAGTGGATGATAATGCTGTCTTTTGCACAACGGGGAAGAAGAACAGAGATCATATTACGGAGTTGGTATCATCACAAGGGATGTTTAAGAAGCAACGCACAGAAGCTTTGTAATATTTCCAGTACTAAGAATGAGACTGAAACTTTAGTCGAAGACAATATGTGTGGCTGAAACTTTGTGCCCATTACATGCTAAACATGACATTGACCGAAACTTTATTGACCTCGTGGTGGGTGTAAACTTTGTTGGCTCTCATATCATATTAGTTTTTCTATATCATTGGTGCAACATGCAACATGCAACATACCGTACTTTTGGATTGATGGAAGAGCACCTATTTATATTGATTAAAAAGATAAAAGATAATTTTTTTACTAATAAATCTTTCAACCTCATTTATTTATTTAAATATAAATTTTTATATTTTTTTTTATCTAATTCTAACTATTTAAATTAATTTTAACATACTCTTTTAATTCAAATGATTGCAACTCGAAGTTGTCATTAAATAAAATAAAATCTTTCTTTTGTCATTAAATAAAATACAGTAATCTATTTGAACTTCTCCTTTATCAATTAGTTACATATGTTTACAAGTCTTGATGATCTTCACAGGATTGAAAGTTTTAGTAAATTTTTGAAGGGTTTGAGTCAATCTTAGTGTCACCAAACTCTACTTTGGCTGAATAAGTATCAAGTTTATCATTCACATTACTTGCAGATGAAAGATTCTTATCAAATGCAGTTTCAGAATCATTTTAAGTGCAAAGATGTGTCTATAGGTCTTTTAGGTTTAACTAGCTGATATCATACTTTCCTGTAGTTCACGATCGACATCAATGAATCATTGGAGCCGCTAAGAAGTTTGATGTTCACTTGGTCATAATTGTTAGATTTGACTTCCCAACTATTTCCTATTCCATCATTTTGTTTTAACATCATCGTAACTTCATCCGTGATCTCAGAAGACTTTGCTAAGGTAGAAGATGGACATGCTTTAGAAATAGTGAAATCTACATCGTTTTCCTTAGTTGTTTCCCTTGCATGCAGTCTCATTAATAATAGTTTTTCAATTACCATAATTTTTATGATTTATAAAAATTATATAGATTTATAAAAATTCAAATGATCATAATTTTTATGTTATAATGTCGATTCATCAGTAGCAACAACAGTGAAAAAATTTAAAAATAATAATAGAAATATTTTAATTTTTTTTATAAAAAATTCAAAAATAATTAAAAAAATACTTTATTTTTTTATTTGCTATCAATTTATCAATTCTCCTACCATAAATCAGATATTTTTTTATTATTAAAAAAGTATTATATCCTTTTCCCATTAATTATCTTATTCCAATGAGATTTTATTTTAAATCAAGAATAAACATCACATCATCAATATTTTTTTTACCAGATTTGATTTTGACAGCAAATGTTCCTTTTCCTTCTACTTGAACCTTACTGTCATTTTTCATCTGCACCATAGATTTGATTAAATCATTAAATTTTTGAACCCTTGTCATATGATTATTGCAGTTACAATCTAAAAACCAAAAAGATCTAAAATATTCTTTATCAGATGCTATAAAGAGAGTATTTTCTTTGTCATTTACTCCACTATTATTTTTCCCATGATAATTTGTTTGATTTTTATTCTAATAATCTTTTTCAAGATGATCATATTTTTAACATTAAAAACAGAGAGGAACATTTAGATTTTTATTTTTATACTAACAATCTTTTTTAATATGTCTAATTTTTTTGTAAAAAAACATTGATGGGTTTCTTTGTTATTTTCATTTGATTGGCTTCATCCTCTACTATTTTGATTTCTAAATTTTCATGATATAGTTTCTAAATTTTTCTTTTGATCATTCTTTTAATCTATCTTCGTTTGTAGAGCATGTTATAAGATTTCATTCAAAGATTTGTTCACTTTTTATTCATGAACTAAAAAGGAGTCCATTAATTCATTAATAAATAATGTACTTGTATCTTTAACTTCTTGTGTAGTAGTAGAAATCATATCAAATTTTAGAGATAAACTCTATAAAACTTGTTCTACTACAGTTTGATCTTTTAGATTTTCAGATCTCATATGATTCACAATAGAAGAGACTTTTGAGAATAAATCAGTGGTAGATTCAGAATCTTTCATCATAAGAGTTTCAAATTTATATCGAAGAATTTGAAGCTTTAAAATTTTTACCTTCTCTTTGCCTCCAAACATATTTTTTAATATTTTTTAGGCTCGATGTCATCATAAGTTGGGAAAATAGAAACTCATATATTGCTTCTTGTAGCATATAAAGGGCTCTTGTCTCTTTGTTCTTTAGTAATGTTCGGATCTTGTATATCATACTTAACAAAATCATTCTCTATTAAATTTCACAATTCTTTTAAAATAAATAGATTTTTCATCTTAATAGATCAAATTTGATAATTATCACCTTTGAAGATCAGAACAAGTAAATTAGAAACACTACTCCAATGCATATCATATATTTTTTTCCTTTTCTAGATATATTCATATTGATCTTCCTCAAATCAGGATTTGATACCATATTGTTAGTTTTGAGAAGAGAAAACTATTTTCAATCTACAATACTTTTGGTTTGATCAAAAAGCACCCATTTATATGACTAAAAGATAGAGTATAATTTTTTTTCAATAATAAAAAATATATCAAATCCTAATAAATCTTTCACTCTCATCGATTTATTTAAATCTAATTTTTATCTTTTATTTTATTTAATTCTAATTATTTGAATTAATCTTAACATCATTTACAAGAATGAATATTTTCTCCATGCAAAAAAAGAAACAGATTTAGAATGAATTGAACTTAAAAGAAGGTAGCAATCAATTAATGAGAAGGTGTATGTGAGGTATATAAAACATGTGAAACGAATACATATGGGTATACAAGTATCTTAAGAATCACGCCGTTTCAGCAACATTTTCCTCTGAGCTAAAGAGAGAACACTCCAAGAGGAGGAAGAAGATAAGTGGAGGAAACAATTCTTATCAGTGTGAGGAGGAGTGTGACTACTGCAGCCAATTATTCTCTTGGGTTCCTTCCCTTGGAATGCTTGTCTGTTTGCTGATAACTTCGGTCCAGGATCATCAATGGCGAGGGCAGGGGTGAAACGTCAGCATATCTTCCGGTTTCCGACACACCGATGACCGGAGCGGCGTGTGCTGCCGCATCTGTAGAGGTCAAGATGGCGCAATCCGGCGTCGGAATCCATATACCTCGAACCACCACAAACTGGATGTTGCTGCTTGTGCTGATCTCCTCCACCGGGCAACTTCTTCTTGCATGAAGCCGGTATTTCTGAAATAGATTATGTATTCCATGTTTTAATCATAAGAAAACCAAATGACAGACCACTTTTAACCAATACTTTGTAGAGATGAACATAGATTACAAGATAACATAATGCAAAAGAAATTGAACAACTATGAGATGAATCCATTAGGATTAATGATGAGATAGAAAGAGAGTAATCATTCCAGGCTCTAAGTACCTTTTTAGTTATCCATAAAAATATTGATATGATGATGATGATGATGATGATGATGATGATGTAATACATACTTACCAAATATATCAGACATATTTTTGAAGGTGGCATGTAATTTGATTATTAAATATTTTATTATATTATTACAAAGTCTTGAGATTAAAATCCACCTTCACTATTTATCTTTCGCAAAACAAATTATAATTTTTAGGGTTAATGTGAAAGAGAAAGTGGCCTCTCTCATGCCATATCTTCTCATTTTGGCCTCACTTCTTTCCTCCGATCACATCACTATCGACTTCCTCATCTCCTTCCCAATATCAATTTCTTTCATCCTCGTCTCACATATTTTCTCTTCACCAAAATGAACATAAAGGGAATGAACCAAATATTAAAACAGATAAAAAAATAAATTTAAAATATGATATGCTCCTTGGGTGGAACTAATGAATGACATTTTCATTTTCATCTCTAGGAAGTTCATATGCATTATTATTTAAGTCATGACAAGTATGTTGGTTAAAATATTTCTTTTATATCATTAAATAATTTATTTTATTTTAGATTAATATAATTAATTTTTAGACATTATCATGTGTTATTTAATATGGATAAAAGTTCATATTTGCAATGTTAGTCGATATTATCATTTTTATCATACTCTAAACAATTGAAATTTTATTTTCATCCATCTAAGATTATTATTTTTAAATGCTTTCAATAAATTTGATTTTATTACATATAATTTTATATTATTTTATTTTTAAAAAATTAATTAAACATACCAACCTGTTGACCGACTAGTCCAACCGATGACCTAATTGACTTAGACTTCCTCTAGTTTGTTTCTATATTAGATAAAGCAATTTAATTACTAAGTAGGCAACCTTTCCTAATAGTCCATTTGCAAATGATCACTTTAATTACTAAAGCCAAGCTGATAACAATTCCTCCATGCAACATGATCAATTATAGATGTTGATAGTTTTGAGTCTAGCAGTTGGATTATGTTCATGGTTCTAAATTGCATAGCTTTTGTACTTACAAATTCTTAAATGCCCTTCTCAGGTAAACTTATTTCTTATTTAAGGATATCAAATTTAAATGGAGTCCCCTTTTTCCATGTTTTTGTAAAGTAGCTTTTAGGTTTCTGTACTCAATCAAAGCTTCTCAGAAAATTTTCTGTTGCTTATTTCTTCTCCTCTACTGTCAACTTCTGGCATCTCCACAACAGTCATCATTTTATTTCACTTAATTGTTCCATTTTTGTTTTGAGTTATATATTGCCATCTGAAACTATCCAAAAATACTTTGAAATAAGTTCTCATCCTTTGTCCTATCATAATATAATTATTGTCAGAATGTTGAGTTAAGCTTATATTTAGACATGGAATTGGTTTTAAAAGCTCTAGTAAATTAGGAGTCTTATAAATTGTATAAATATGGCTTTTGAGTTTGAAAAATATCGATGAAAGAAAATCTAGAGTTTGTGTCCTCTTTATTTTTTTTTTATAAATTACTGAAGCATATTATGTCGAAATATTAAATCAAATTTTATAATTAGATAGGATCTTAGTTAAGATAAAAATCTTTAGATAAAGCTAAAAGATTTATAAGCCTACTGTAATGTTTTAGAGATATAATAGGTGGTTATGATTAATGAAAGTTTTTAGTTTTGAGGTGTCTCTCTATTCTTCTCCTCTATTATCATTTCTTTATGAGATCTCGATAAGTTTGAGAATAATTTAGAGTTTATAAAACATTAAAAGCAAATTATGAAAAAGAGAGAGAATATGTACCATTATGGCACTAATAAGATGCATAATTCATGAATTAAGGGAATAACCTTTGATTGGACAAATTTATACCATTGATTAGCCAGGATAAGTTCTACCAAAAGCTTCTATTGCAAATCATCATCAGATAGATCATGTTCAATCACATATTTTGAGCCAAATGTTTCTGAATCTTAATCTCCCTAAACTTTCATTTATAGTTAACAAAATTTGATATTTGAACAATTGGAATGATAATTCTTGTGTGCAATAGTCATTATCCCTTGACAAATGCACCCATAGCAAAAAGTATTTAGATCACCTTGTAGTGATAAATCTCATATTTCATCAACATTATCTTTGACTGAATTCTATGAATTCAGCCTTGAATTGCATTTAATTTGATAACATAAAATAATGAGAATGCTACTTGTTATTTATCTCACTGAAACTTTTGTCTTATCATTAACTTGTAATATGCTTCTTCTTAATTCTAGGTTTTTTCTAATTTTGTTGCCCTAATAATCCTGCAACACAAGAAAGACATCTTCTTCCATGAACTCGAGAGTTATCCTTTTCTCCTTTTTTTTTCACTAGAGATAAATAGGCAATTGAAAAAAAAAATCATATTGTTTATCCACCTTTAATTAGTGAGTATGACTTTGGACACAGATATTAAATTAATACTAATTTTTTTGTAAACATATTGTTGTAAAAGGATATGGAAATGAGTGGGAAATATACATAATAAGCATCTAAATAAGACATAAAAATGATTTGGGTGTGAATATAATACAAAACAGATGTAACATGAAATAATTAAGAAATCGACTCGAGTATATGTAACTATATATATTTCTTTAATAGGAAAGTTCAAAGCAAATGTGAAATTACAAGGATAAGAAAAGAAAATTTTGTTAATTACTGAGCACCTTTTCTTGATGATTAGAGCAAGATAGAAGACTAAACCCACATATCTTGATGTTTGGTAACCAAACAAGAACAAGAAATTTTCATATCCATCTCCATATCTGAAAAATATGTTAGATATCTAGCTAGCTACACTGTTCCTGATGTGTGGCTAACACTATTCATGTAATTTAGCAAACTTCAAACTAATACAATGATGTGTGATGAACCCTATTCATGTAATCATATCTTGAATACTTAATACAGAAAGGGATTTGGAAATGTATCAATCATCCTGTGTATTTTCACTCATAGACACTGTCAGCTAGTAGTTTGAATACTTAATGCAGAAGGTGAATCATCATGGTTCCAAGAGTACCCCATCTTTGTTCCAAGAGGAAGGGTGAACAAGATCTAGTGCTTGTAGCTCAACATTTATTTACCCTACTGACAATAAACTATTAGTTTAAATAATAGTTCCTGGTAATGAGATTATGTACCAAGCAAACTGAGTTTTGACATAAATAAATAAATATATATATATATAGCCTAGACCAACAAGTACAAGCAACTACTGTACTAGTCACTTGTTGTGCAAACTTAAAAGCCTTGTAGTACCTATTTGTTTTGGTTAAAGGTTATGTTAGTGTATGTACTACTCCAGAGATAATCTTTTAATGAAAGGTTTATTTAGGGTAGATGAAGCTATAAGTTGATGTAGGTATCAACAACAGTACTACAGGGAATTTGTTTGATGTAGGTATCAAGAACAGTAAGTACTACGGAGAAAGACTAAAAAGAGAAAAAGAGAAGAAAAGAAGGTAGATTTCTGACTGGGCTTAATATCATTAGTGTTGTGTCTGTAGATATCAAACAAATACTGAATCTTCTATTTAAGAGATTACTTTGATAGATAGGACTAACCTGTAGATGGCTCTTCACTTCATCGTTGGTGAGTCCATCCACCTTCATCAGCTTCCGGATAAGTTTGGGTGTTGCAGCTGCAACCAAGCAAACCCACCTTCACAAGCAATCATCACCAGTAATCGGAGAAAGGAAAAGTATGATGCTGCTATGAACCCACCATGACAGCCACCCAGCTGCTCAAGTGCATGCAAGAATCTCTTGTGCAGCTCTTCTGACCAGTACCGTTTCACCTTCCTTTCAGGCTGAGATCTCTCCTTCTTCTTCTTCTTCTTCTTTCCTCCATCACCATTGCCTTCCTCTCCACTAGCAACTTCGGTATCTTGGCAAGCCAGTGATTCTGATGGAGCTATCTCTTCTTCTTTGTCTAGATATTGAGCATCTCCCCAAGTCATCTTCGCTTTGATTGCTATCGGCTTTTGCGGATGAACCTATACAGCATTCGGAGAACGAATAACACAAGTACATAAAGCACTAGTTGAGATAATGACATGCTCTCACCGTCTTGGGGAGTGGGTCTTGCTCTTGTGCAACGAGCTGGGTGGATCTGATCCACTCCTGGTGATGGATGGTATCATCTTCCGAAGAAACGGATCTCGGTCTCAGAGGTATGAATTCCTTAACTGCAAGCTCATGGCTCAGCGTCTCAGCGCTAACCATCAGCTGCTTGTAGCTCTCGATCGCTGCAGCAGATCGGAAGAAGCGATCGATCTCAATCTTCTAACAAGCTCAAAGAATAAACTCGGGGAGGAAGAAAACAAGAACCCCTAAACCAGATGCCGATCTCTTACTTTGGTTGATGAGATGCAGGCACAGAGGCAGCTCCCGGTGGAAGGCCTCCATCTTCCGACGCTCCTCATCGAGAGCAACGATCAGTTCACCGAACCTGCGCGCATACTCTATCCGATCCATCTCTTTCCAACGCAGCACGCGGAGGAGGAAGCAAGAGAAGCGAGGTCAAGATGAAAACAGAAAGGTTGCATGCCAAGGTCGGGGCGTGGCATAAGCCACCGACTCGTTAGGGTGCATCTCTACAGGTAGTAAAAGTCAGCACAGATGGTGGAGGGTGGTCGGGGACCGGGGGAGAGGGGGCGGGGGGGGGGGGGGGGGGAGGGAGAGAGAAGGGAAGAGGATGTAATCTGTCGTTGTTTAATCGTTTGAGACGGGGTGAAAGTAAACGTGAGAGGGATTATTGAGTAGAATATGAGTGAAAGGATAAGCTTTTCTATTGGGGACAGCTATTTGTTTATACAGAAGGACAAGGTTTCATTATAATATATGAAGCCTTGTGGAAGTCGCCAAGGGACATTTACCTCTTCGATTCATAGCTAATACAATAATAACGTCTGATATACCGCAAATAAGAACCCTATGTCAAGTATGTATTATTCAGGTTTCTGAGGTGTATACGTCGGTATTCTTCCTCAGAAAAAAAAGTATATATGATTCATTTTAGTTCCTGATTGATAATGGTTGATTGTACTTTTTTAGTTAAAATTATTAGTATTACTAAAAAAAATAGATTTAATTTAGGATTAAGGTCAATTTTAGCTTTTGTGATTTTGATCATGAACCACTTAACTATTTATGATTTATTCATGTCTAAAATAATTTTTATATTTTTAAAAATATAATATATAAATTTTTTTTATCAAATTTGAGTTAAACTTTAAAAGTATGTTGACTCTGAATAAATTATTAATATAACAATATATATAATTTAAATTTAAAAAAAAATTAAGGTCAATTTTAGCTTCAATAGTTTTCGTCATGGCTCACTTAAGTCCTTATGATTTATTCATATCTAAAATAACTCTTATATTTTCAAAACATAGTATGTAAGCCTCTCATGTCAAGTCTGAGTTAATAGATATTAGAGTCGTGACATAATGACTCACAATAAACTATTAATATCATGACACATATAATTTAAGTTATAAAAAAAACTGAGACTGCCATCAATGACGGGAGGAGTCGTCGTCTTGAAAGTAACCACCAGTAGTAGCACTGAGCCACTATTGCCTAGTAGAGTGTTATATGCATGTAGTCTCTCTCGCACTGATGACGTACTTAGGAGCTTTCGGTCCTGCCTTAGGTGGATGCGTGTCGATTAGTTCGACACTAGATACGTAGTGGTCTCCTTGGCCCTCTTCCTTCTCCTAGGTATCTTCGTCTCCACTGTCTCCTACTTCATCCTCTCTTGCGCCCCCACTCACCGTGCCGACAACGTGATGGTCTATCTCTCCCTCACTTTTGCCTTCGATCTCTCCTACATATGTCTCTCTGTATTCATATGTCGTTTTCTCTTCCTCGATTAATCCTTAGACGCGAGTAAACCATAAAAATTAAAGTGAACTATCGATTTATTTTTTTCTCTAATCTTTTTTATGTGGCCTTTTTGTTCATGTGTATATATCATTTCTTAACGATGATGTTGAGAAGGAAATTACTTGAAAGTCTACGGAGAAACTTTATCGACTTATACAGTGCCCATATCACTATCAAGAATTTATTCACCTAGAGTTCACTTTATGTAGCCTAAGCTAGTGATCATGTACGTTGAATCTAGTCATGCTATATGACATACAATGAATATGGCCATCCTTTTGAAGAACCCTTTTAATATAGTAAGAATATTAGCAGGTTGATGGGTTTGGATGTTTGATAGGTATTTAATAATTAATTAATTAGCTTGGGTGTTTTCATACACATATTTTTTATTAAAAATTAAAAAAAATTATTACATTAAACAACATAGATGATGCTCACAAGTGGGCTTGAAACTGAGACGCTTGTGCAATGATACATTAATCAATCAGACATGCACAT